GGGATTCTTGGGAGCCCGCTCCCATTGATGGTTGACGTACTGGGTCTGGTCGAGAGTACGACGCGACACATCCTGTGCCGCAGAAGGACCGCCGGAGAAAGTCTTCCCGGCACGGTCGTAAAGGGATTTCAGGTTGTCAATCCCTTCGCACATCTAACTAGAGATACGTACGCGCCACCACGGGCTAGTAAGGAGGTAAGCCTCCTTAGGTGCTCGTGCAGAGTTGTTCACACAATACGGGCACGAGTCTCCCCAGGAGAGGCAGGGTAACCCTTTCTCCCTAGACAGACGATGCGGCTTGTAGCGTGCACCTGTCGGGGTTCGCTTTTCAAACTTATCACGAGCTTTGATAAGTTTGTCGTTCCAACGTCACGACCTACATCCTCAAGGTTATGGATGTAGGCGTTCCACGCTTGAAGTAGTGAGGGACAATCACGTTTGGGATTCCCACTGTACCATCGATGTTTAAAGAAAGCATCGATGAATAACTTATTCTCAGCGCGATAGTTTTTTGCACTAGGGTCAAGGTGATGAATCCTCGACGAATCGAACAAGCGTGTTCGATAACGATCACTCGTCGTCGCCGACAAGTGATCCATGACAGATTTAGGAGGCATCCATGCCTTCTTTTCTGGAGCGAGACGCAACACATTGCGGTCCCGCTCTTCCTGCGACGTGCCGACAGAAGTACTGGCACCTCGCTGTGAAGTGGTGTCCATTGGAGAAACGACACCACTATTAGCGCCCGAGTCTCGCGACCTCGAGCGCCTTCGCTTGGCGATGGTTCATCTGACTCATCAGATGAACCAAAGATGCTGCGACGCAAAGCATCGTCCATGCCACGCTTGGCAGGCGGCTTGATTCAATTGCCGTCGATACGGATCCGTCATCCGTATCAGGAGAGTACGAGACACCGAGCTCGTACTCTGTGAAGACACGAGTGTCTTCATGACCAGCGCCTGCATCACCAGGTGATACAGGCTGAGTCGATTCAGCAACCGATGGGACATCAGTTGCTGTAGTTTCTGCTTCGGCGTCCGCACAGAGACGTGCAGACGCGCTCTCGGCGGCCTTGCTCGCGCATCGCATGGGCTTGTTTACCATGCGATGAAATGTTGGAAAGTGGACGCGGACCAACAAGTGCAAACCCCGTCCCAAATGATTTGGGACGAGTATCCATTTAGTCAATCAGTCACTAAAGTGACTGATGGTTAAGGGGGTGATGTAACGGGGTGAATCGTTACATAACAATTTATAAGAAATTGTTAATAGAATATAACTATAAGAGTTATATTCTCAGAATATTGTCATAAGGACAATATTCTGTAGCACTTCCAAGTAGTTCCTAATTGGTTGATATAGGCCATTATATCAACCAACGAAGACGCGCCACGACAGACGCACGCAATGAGTGGTGAGCAGATAACTGATTTACACATTTGTATTTAGACATAGTTAGATGAAGATAAATAGTGATTTATTGCAGACATTAACTATTATAAATACAGTTCTACTTTTTACTCCAACCGAGTACTCGCTTCTTCTTACCGTCTTCCTCTGCACGTACGAGTGTACGTGAAGTTACGAGGCACCGCCTTATTCTGTCATCAGAATAAGTAGCTTGTACTGTCACCAGTACAAGCTTCAGGTTGCCCCGTTACAAGACTAGTCAACTCACGCCAGGCGATTTGTGATGTTTACGAGAAAAACTCAACAGTGTGATGCGGTTGGCCAAGTCTCTGATGATGTAGCAATTTGCTTAAGGTTTTGGGCGCTTATCTACTGGGTTTTAGCAGCTGCCCGACGAGCGGGCACATACCGCAATACGTACAAGCATCATGTTTTATTTGTAGGCATGCCTCCACATTACGTAGAACTCAGCAGATTTCGTAAGCGCAGTGTAAATGCTACTTCTGTCGATGCATTGTCCTACCTCGATCTGCAAGCTCGGTTTCCAACTTTAAACCGACGAGTGTGGTTGGCGTATCATCTCTTCCAGGGACTCTAGTTTGCTGCTTTATGGTCTCTATACTACCAAACGCCACAGCTGTGTGTCCATCGCCTATAGAGAACGCCTGAATCCCTGCATGATTGACTGCAGTAGTTAATCGAACGCCTTCTTACATGAAGCACCAAGACACACCTTCCGCAAACATTCGTAAGTACATATTTTGTACCGGCAACCAAGTTGGTCGATGGCAACCTTATGGATTGTATTGGGGTTGCTGTTTGCAAGACGTATCCGTTAGCTCGACATGTATTGTTTTGTATCCACGAATGCTGACATACTCGAGCTCTTGCTTGAGGTCAACCGCCATGTTCACAGTGCGAGAGATCGAAGACAACGTACGGATTGAGGTTGGACACGAGTACAGATCAAGGCCTGAGTTCGATCAGCGGTAAAGTGTAAAGGTGAACGCTATGCTCACTTCATTACCTTACTTAGATGCGGTGACATCAATCGTAAGTAGAAGATCATTCGGGCACCATAATTATAGCTATTGAAATATTGGCTCTCACAAACATGTGTGTAAAATGTGCTCAGGACAGCTACAATACCGACGTTGCGGTGCAGAATGATGCAATCAATGACGTTACCGTAACGATGTTTGCTATGTATTTGTCTCGTTTAACACTTCCATCAATGGTCAAGTCACATTCTGTCCAACGATCGTCGTAATCCTAGCCACTTTTGCTCCGACTTTCGAGATTTTGATCTCGGAAATAAAGCTGATCTCGGATAAAACGAATGCTGCTAAGTCGTCGGAAAAAAATCACCGTTGCAGTCAGTTTCTTTGCTGCAATGATGATTTCTTTCCGACGACTCAGCAGCATTCACATGACTGTAGAGTTACGATCTTCCTGTTGCTCTTCGTGCAGGTGATGCTGTCTGTTGAATGGTTTGCAATGGCAGTAGAGAAGAAAAGAGTAATCAAATTAATGCTTAAAGACTGGACTGAGCAGACAGCATTCGAGGTAGGCGTTACACGCTACCGAAAAGAGAGCACGTAGAACCTGACACGTGTTCGGCTCTACTACTCAGGCCAACTTTGTCCAACTCCTCTCGGCTTACTCCGATGTTCCAAACTGACTACTGTCTAGCGAACTGCAAGAAGCCATGTGTGCAATCTCAAACCCTTTCTGCCTTTGTCAGGTCAACTTTATAAGCGGCTCCGTTCCAAGAGCAACCCACCAGATTACACGAATATAGCCCGTGGCGCCTATCATTGTGATGAACAGCTCTGTAAACGCACCAATTGACGATAGTTTGGTACAGATCTCACTGCGTCCGTCCAAGCGTACATCTCACCCGTGATTTAGACGTTCAGACGAGTGTTCCTGCGACGATAGCACGTGGCACTGATATTGGTCGCAGGGGTGCAGAACCTGGTAATCAAAAATTACCCGGGCTTTGCACCTCTGTGACAGACAGTTTCTCAAGGTTGCCAACGTCAGCGACGCCGATTATCATACCCTACTCCGCTTTTCGCACGGCGCCGGATCAAGCAGGGCCGTCACGTTCCTATAGACTGAATCGTCACGGCTGCTTGAGAAAGCTGGCGATGTCTCGCTGCCAACTTGGAAGAACATGTGACAGTTGCGTAGGCTCGGAGCCTTTCGTACAATCCAACAGACGCTGACTCTGCATTTGTCGAGTCGTGCAGAAAAGCTTAGCGTATGAATAAAAGTGTCAGGAGCTACGTCGTCAGGCAGAGAACTAGATGACAATTGACCCGTGCCGCTGCTTGCATGTGTCCATGAAACAGACACGTTGACGGACTTTACATGACTGCGGTCCGTGCCGGTCCCTACACGTAAGATAGTCGGTCAGTGTATCTCCGTCGCAGCATCACCAGAATTTTCACAGTCAAGCCTAAGCCTAAGCCGATCCTCAGCTCCACATCAAGCAGCACTTCGGCGGGAATCCTCCCTAGTCTGAGACAAACAGCGTGAGGCGTTGTCTCCGTTATGCTGCTAGCGCAGCCGGGTCGCGCTAGCAGTTGGCCAGATGGAGATATTACGGCTGATAGGCGTGCCCACGCCTCGCGCTCGCTTCAGAGATGCACTTCAGCTCCAAGTCGATGGGCCGCGCCAGATGGTACTTTGGGCTCACCATCAATGATGGAGGGTCCTTCTCCTTCGCGCGCTGCTTCAGCGTCGTGTACGGCCCCAGTGCTTGCAGTCGTCGCTATGGCCAGGCGTTGACATCACAATGCCTTCTCACACTTGTGCAGCACAGGGCAGTGAAGTACTAAGTGCACTTATAATAGAGGCTTACACCGGCTTGGTTAAGGTTGGTAAAGTCACGCCCTAGAACTCGTCCCTCCCTCTTCCGAGGACCACCACGACAAGCTCCGACGACGGCGCTTAGTTTCTGGTACAAATATATTCAGACATTTTCCACACTAACTTGTAAACAGACGATCTAGGCATTACATCTCTGTCGCAACGTAGAGGGACAAGGTCTTTCCGTACTCGTGTGCAGTCGCAAATCGTGTTGACGGTTTGTCAACGCGAGATCGTAATCGGCAGGTAAAGGACCGTTGACTTTTATGGACTCTTTTGACTGCAAAACCCCTACCTGTATGTGACACGTACATTGATGGTCAACCGCATTTATCTCGAGTATGTCTTGGAGATCGAGACCGTACAGCCATGATGTACAGTAGAAGCAATGCGGCAGATGACTGAAGAGTTGAAAATGTCACGAGTTCGGAGAGATTGGAAGCAGACATCACTCGCTCTTTGATTGCAGTACAGAACCAGACGAGGCTCGATTATGACTTGCTGCTGTCTTAAACGCTGCGAGTGTTCATCACAAAAGTAATACTGGCTACGGCGTACAGAGAGGCAGGCACTTGAAGAAGCAATCAGCAGGTATCAAGAACCAATTTTCCACTTTAGCACACGTGGTTCGACAGCGACTTGACCTGCTTCACTGGGCCAAGTGGTGCTCTTCCGCCTGAATACAACACACATCTGCACGCCCGGCGACGGCCATGGGGCTGCTATTTTGGATGCTGCAAGTGAGTTTAATCACCGTTCTTACCAACGCCGGCTCCGTGACAACTCCTGCTGTCGACTTCATACCAAACTCAGCTGCTCATACTCGCAAGGACGGTGGCGAGTACATGAAGAGCCTGCGTGAAGCAAACACGTTGGACGACAACGTTTCGTCGGAAACGTTCACTGACGAAGACCGTTTGTTCTCCGTTTTGTCGCTTATACAGAGTGCTCGAACGGGTGTAGCATCCGTGAGAGAACGTTGTTTGAATGTCATGTTCTGGATTCATTATTTAGCAGGGACGACCCCAAAAATGATGCATGACCTAGCGTATGTTGGAGTGCCGAGGGCAAAAGACAACGCGAACAGATATGAAGCCTATTTCAAAGCGAAGATACAAGCCGCCGGAAAGGACGCCCCAGAAAGACGCGCCGCGGAAACAAACGCACCGCATGGATGATCGTATCATGGATGAATGTATTTGTTTCGTTCGAGTGTAGATTAACTTTGTAGTCATAGCTACTACTTGCTTCACGACAAATACAGCTACCTTTGTTTGGATTTATCCCCGAAGAAAAGTAATGTGGTCTTCAGTGTAAGACACGATAGAACGTTCATCAAGACCCACACCGATCGTGGATGAATTCGCCACCGACTGTTTGACCAGGCTTATGGCACTGCCAATTCGTCGAGAAGTCAAACTGCATTTCGAATTTAGTTCCATTGATAAGCGGATCATCTCAGGTAGATCCGTGCTTCGTTTTGCAAATGCTCTCGTTCGCTGTGTACATATGGCATTACGAAGAGCCAAACACGGACATGTCTGATGTGTTAGTTTTGTATTTTTTCACTATTGTTTCGGCGCATAGGTTGCGTGCAGGCCGTCAGTGTAACGGGGTGAATCGTTACATAACAATTTATAAGAAATTGTTAATAGAATATAACTATAAGAGTTATATTCTCAGAATGTTGTCATGAGGACAAATATTCTGTAGCACTTACGAGTAGTTCCTAATTGGTTGATATAGGCCATTATATCAACCAACGAAGACGCGCCACGACAGACGCACGCAATGAGTGGAGAGCAAATAGTTGATATGCACATTTGTATTCAGACAGAGTTAGATGAGGATAAATAGTGATTTATTGCAGACATTAACTATTATAAATACAGCTCTACTTTTTACTTTAGCCAAGTACTCGCTTCTTCTACCGTCTTCCTCTGCACGTACGAGTGTACGTGAAGTTACGAGGCACCGCCTTATTCTGTCATCAGAATAAGTAGCTTGTACTGTCATCAGTACAAGCTTCAGGGTGCCCCGTTACACCTGGTAGCACTTCGTAGTCCGTCCAAGGACCACGTTCACATTTAACATGAACATGTTGGATGATGAAGATGACCAAAGCTTCCACGCTACGCGTGACGGCTACTCCCATTAGAGCGATGTCGAATGGGATGCGGTTGAACGAATGGGTTCGACCATGGGCATCCATGCTGTTAGCGTCATGCTAGAGGCTCTCAATAGAGATGCCCAACATGCTACTATCGCCAAGTTCATTCAAAATGAACTTGACGCCGAACGCGAGAAAGTAGCCTTGCTTCACCAACAAGGTTCTCAACAAGCAGAGTTGTTGAGAGAACAGGGTGTTCAACAGCTTGAACTGTTAAGACAGCATCAGGCTGCTGCTGGTGGGTCGATGCACTCGCGTCGACCCGAAACCTTGAAGATTGGCATCTCTAAGTATAGGGGGGTCGAAGAAGACTCCCTCTTGAGATGGTTCGTCGAATAAGACGACGCCATAAGGGCGCGTCGCATCGATGATGGGGAAATGCAAGTTGCATTTGCCCAATCAAATCTGGCAGGATGTGCCAAGACTTGGGCACTGGGGCTCAAGTTGCACGACCCATATGCGTTTGGGTCGTTAGAAGTCTTCAAGTCGCGGCTCAGACAAACGTTTGAACCGCCTAGAGCTGAGTTCAGAGCTCGAACTGAACTCTTGAAGCTCAAACAAGGTAAGCGTGATGTGCACGCTTACGCGCAACATATACGACATCTCACGAGTTGTATAAGTTCCAATCCGGTGGATGAACACACGTTGGTTTCGGTGTTCATGCAGGGTTTTGCGGATGGTCCCGTCAAGACTCACATGTTCCTACTTGAACTAGATTCACTAGAACAAGCCATTCCATTGCGGAACAGGAAGACTTCAGTCTGAGACAGGCTCGCGCCAGCTCGACATCATATCGTCAACCGAGACGATATGACAACGGAGGTCCAGAGCCGATGGAACTCTGTTATGTAGAGAGCGAGAAGGCTCGCTCTACAGGCTACAAGAAGTTGCAGAAATGATACAGATGTCAAAAGACAGGACACTACGCTTACGAGTGTAGTGCCCCTCGTCCAGTGTCTCGCAACACTGGGCGTAGTGACCCTCCACCCATGAGAAAGGGGCAGGGACGCGGGTCCGCTGTTGGTGCAAAGACGCAACAACAGGGTGGACCGTAAAAAACGGACAGGATCAGTAGGTGTAACGGGGTTGCACGAAATCGTGGTACTTTGTACCAGAGGTGTTACACACCTGAGGGTTCGCTTCTGTGAAGGTGATATAGAATATCTTATCGGTTTGTAGGGGCTGACGAGTGTCAGCCATTAGATACGAAAGATCTTTGAGTAGGATTAAGATATTCTATAGGCTTTAACAAAAATAAAATCAGTTCCCATTTTGATCTGAAAGACACGTGGCTTGCGAGCCGTCTTGATCGTTGATCTCTGATCACTGAGAGTTAGCGACACCTCCTAGAGGTAGCTACTCTTGAGCACTAAGTGCTGTCGATTCACTGAATCGTTAGGTCCCCTGGAACAGGGATCTGAAGCTATAAAGCTTGTTGACTCGTAAAGTCGTTAGTTCTTTAGAACTAAGTTGCTCGTAGAGCGTTAAGTCTTCCTCTGACTTAAGGAGCTGTGTAGCTCCGCTACACTTGGTAGCACTTGTAGTCAATCTACGCCTGAGTCTTTAAGACTGATCCTCTGTGAGGATGAAAAACATCACTCCCCTATCTGAGGCCCAAAAGGTCGCGCTTGATAAGCTGACCGCATCTTTGGGTCCAGAGTACGTGGAGTTCCTTGTTTCACAAGGTCCTGAAGTGCTTAATGCACGTGTTGAAAGCTCCATGCAGTATGAAGCGACCCTTTTAGGGCAGGTCCAAGACCAAATAGCGTCGGCTATGCCTACACGCTACGTGTCTGTACCAGACGAAGAGGCTAAGCCTCGTCCACTTAGAGTGGAAGTAAGAAACTACTCCGGTAAGGAGGGCGAGAACCTCATCCTCTGGATCCGTGAGATCGAGATGGCCATGAGATCAGGCCTGATCACGCTTGACCATCAACAGGTCTCGCTGGCTATCTCGAAGCTCGATGGTAGAGCTAGAGAATGGGCCTTGACGTGTAGCACGTCGGTGGACATAGCGTTTCTCACATGGGAGTCGCTCAAGTTACAATTGGTACAGGTGTTTTCTCCACCTAACCAGGCTTACCGCGTGCGCTCACGCTTTCTTTCTACCCGCCAGGGTAAGAATGAATTATCGGACTATGTCCAAGAGCTGCGAACGCTCATGGCTGCAATGCAGTCTGACCCTTTGCCTGAAGCAGTCCATGTGACTATCTTCATGGAAGGTCTACGTACTGGCATTGCCAGAACCGAAGTTTTTCGGGTTCACCCCTCTACGTTTGAAGAGGCTGTGAGAATTGCTCTTAATGCTGAGCATAACTTCAAGTCGGCCAGACTTGATTGGAACGGATACAATCCTCGCTCTGTGAGAGCAAACTATTCGGGTACCACTGCCTATAATGGGCCGGAACCGATGGATCTCAGCTATGCTGAAGATGGAGGTGAAGCTGAGCTTCAAGCTGCTGAGCAGAAACACGTTGTAAGACGATGCTTTACGTGCGGAAGCACTTAACACTTGCGGCCTGGTTGCCCTTTGCGTAAGCAACGCCAGACTACGAGCCAACACTCGAGCCCGAGTCAGAAGTCTGGCATGGCACGGGGAAATGCCGACACCCAGTAGGCGCGGGGCGCCCTACTGGGGAAGAACTATGTTCTGTTACACCTTTAGAAGGTAAAGGAATGCAGGGCTTAGCCCCAAAGAGTACCATACCTACGGGTATGGTGCGTGGATACAAGTCTGGCTTGTTGGTCGCCGAGGCGAAAATTAAGGGCTTCGAGAAGCCTTGGTCGATATTGATCGATTCTGGGGCGTCTTGCAATTATGCTCGACGCCGTTCCCTTGAGGGAAGTCAGCGTTATTCTGAGGCGCTTACAGCGCATGAAGGTGATTCTATCACGGTTCGTTTAGCGACTGGAAGTCGCGTAACGGTGCCTAAAGTTCCATTGAACTTAGGTATAAAGTTTTTAGACTTTGACAGTATTGAGCGCTGTCTTGTCCTAGATTTGGACTCGAGATATGATCTCATCCTAGGTATGGCTTGGCTTGAGCGCCATGAGCCATGGATTGATTGGAGGTCTAAGACCTTAGGCGCTACGCGCAATGTTCCTAGCGAAGCTTTGGAGAGTCATGAACCCACTTTTGCTAGGCAGCAGAAGCGCTATTGGCGCAAGCCTTTGACAGAAGATGTCAATGTGCTGGATATTGGAATGTCTGAGCTATCTAACTCCAATGTTACAAACATAAGTTTCGAGCTTAGCTCGTCTAGTGAAACGGCACGTACTCCGTTGAGTGTTACTCGTTGTGATAACGAGTCACTGCATGCTGAAAGCATGGTTGGCCTAGGGCCGAGTGATCAAGGATGTGATTCCTTTGATGTGTGTATGGTGGCACGTGAAACTACACCGAGTGCGGTCGGCCGTGAGAGCACCGCACTGAATGTCGGTAATGACATTTTTGGCGATACGCCATTTAGTGTGGGCGGCCGTGAAGGCACCACGCTTAACGTCGGTAATGGCGTTGTTGGCGATTCGCCATATAGTGTGGGCGGCCGTGAGGGCACCACACCTAATGTCAATACTGATATTGTTGGCGATACGCCGTATAGTGCGGACGGCCGTGAGGGCACCACGCTTAACGCCGGTAATGGCGTTGTTGGCGATACGCCGTATAGTGTGGGCGGCCGTGAGGGCACCACACCTAATGTCAGTAATGATACTGTTGGCGATACGCCGTATAGTGTGGACGGCCGTGAGGGCACCACACCTAATGTCGGTCAAGACAAAAGCTCTCGTATAGAGCGTACTATGGTTGGTAGTAACCATGGGGACAATATTGTTCCGACCCCTAAGGGGTGTAAGGTCTCGAAGAGACAATCGAGACGCCGAGTAGCAGCTGTAAAGCGCCAGGCGTCCTCACAGTCACATAGTGAGATTAGCAATACACTATATACACTTGTTAATGGAGTGACTGGTCAGGTTAATGGCAATGTGAGCCTCGAAACCCTTCCATCTGTGGACGCTCTGTGTGAGCTAGACGAAATGTCTGATGGCGAGTTTAGCCAGGCCTTGAAGGCAGGAGAGTTATCCGAGTTAGCAATCATTAGACCTGATACTGACTTAAATTCTTCCTCGTTAATGGATGAGTCTGTCCTAGAGGATACAAAGGCGGCACTTAGTGCACGAAGTGGATCTTCGATCCTTAAAGATCCTTTGGATCCGTTCTATCCTTTAGTCAAGGAATTTCAAGATGTGGTGTGTCACAACCCACCTTCTGCCTTACCTCCCGATAGAGGTGTACGTCATGAGATTGACTTGGTTCCTGGAACTAAATACTGTGTAACACGGCAGTGGCCTTTGCCTAAAGAACAGTGCGACGTCATTGACGATTTCTTTCGTGCTAAGCACGCGGCTGGAATGGTTCGTGAGAGTAAATCTCCCCATTCAACACCGACATTTTGTGTCAGAAAGCCAAATGGCAAGTGGCGTATTGTGCATGCTTACAATAAGCTTAATGCAGCCACTATACCGGCGCAGACGCCTATTCCTAGAAAGGATGTTCTTCAGAACAATATGGCGGGATGTACACTGTACAGTGCACTCGACTTAGTCGATGGTTATTACCAACTGCTCATGCGAGCAAGCGATATTCCGCTAACAGCGGTGAGTACTCCGAGCGGTATGCTTTGGGAGTGGCTCGTTATGCCACAAGGGCTATCTAACGCCCCGGCTACATTTAACCGGTTGGTAACGCAACTATTCAGACCTCATCGAGGCTATGCACAAACGTACTTTGATGACATTTTTGTCCATAGTCGTGCAATGAATGGGCGATCAGATGTGGACAATCACATCGATCATTTACGAGCGGTGCTCGGGTGTATGCGGATGAATAAGCTGTATGCGAACGCATCGAAGTGCATCTTTGGTGCAGAAGAGATTCCCTTTCTAGGGTGCAACATTGGGAAGCGAGGCCTTCGAGCGGATCCCGCTAAGGTAAAAGCCATAGTCGATTGGCCAGTCCCCAAGAACCAAAAGGACTTGCGTAAGTGGCTTGGCCTTGCCAATTACTTACATAAGTACAGTGCAAATTACGCAGATATGGCTCGGCCATTGTCCAATCTCCTTAAAAAAGATGTGGGTTGGTGTTGGGGTAACACCGAACATAATGCTTTTGAAGCAGTTAAGGAGAGTCTCCTTCATGCGCCAATATTGGCTTTGCCCGATTCTGGTCGGCCTTTCAGTGTCGTCTGTGATGCATCTGACTTTGCCATAGGCAGTGCTCTGTTACAAACAGATGTCGACGGACGCGAACGCGTCATCGCATTTGAATCTCGACAGCTGAAAGCTGCTGAAAAGAACTATCCTGTTCATGACAAAGAGCTACTTGCTATGAAGTACGCTCTTGTCAAATTCAGAGTCCATCTGCTTGGCTCGAAGCCATTTGTGATCTATACCGATCATGCGTCATTGCGCACTGCGACACAGTCGCCTCATCTCTCACAGAGAATGGCTCGTTGGCTTTCATTCTTTGCCGAATATAACTTCGAGGTAAAGTACAAGCCAGGTAAGCAAAACGCTTTGGCTGATGCGCTATCGCGTCGACCTGACTATGAGCTTGCTCATGTTACGACCCTGTCGTCGTCAGTCCCTGACTTAATTCGTGCGGCATATGCCAAGGACGATCAGTGTGTAGCTTTGCTACGTGCTCTTGGGAGCGATGAGTTTAAAGACTCGGACATAGAATTGTCGGCACGTTTACGTGCGAGGCTACATCGATATTATATCGATAATGGCCTGTTGTGCTATCGCACGGATATTGAGGACAACCCTCGTATCGTAGTACCTCATGATGAGGAATTAAAGTATCGGATCCTCTATGAGGCATATGATACTGCTTTAAGTGGTCATCTCGGTCGTGAGAAGACTTATAGCTCGGTGAGCCAAAGTTATTGGTGGCCCAAACTTTATAAGTGGGTGCGCACATATGTGCGTACGTGCGAAACGTGTCAACGGGTAAAACCCTTGGCACATGCGGCGGCGCCGCTGGCTAGTTTGCCGGTACCCAGTGGTTGTTGGGAGTCCATGAGCATGGATTTTGTGTTTGGCCTACCGAAAGATTCGGAAGGCAACACTGGTATTGTGGTCTTTGTTGACCGATTGAGCAAGATGGCTCACTTAGCGGCTGTGCCGGATAGCATTGATGCTGAAGGTACAGCAAAGCTGTTTATCGACCGTGTCTTTCGCCAACATGGCTTTCCTGTGGCAATTATCTCTGATAGTGACCCCCGCTTCACTGGGAAGTTTTGGAAGTCTATCTTCAAGGTGCTTGGCACTCGGTTGGACATGTCCAAAGCGGATCATCCGCAGACCGACGGTCAAACTGAGCGTGTAAACCGCGTCATCAACGACATTTTGCGCAGTGTTTGCGCTGATACGCCTAGGCGTTGGAGCTCAATGCTCCCTGTTGTTAAGTTTGCGTTGAATAACGCTGTTCATGCCTCAACAGGCTTTACTCCGTTCTATATAAACGGTCTCACTCACCCTCGCGTTCCGTTAACGCTATCACTACGTGAATCAGGGCTTGGTGGGGGAGAGGTTGCCGATCGGCTTGCTGATATCAGCCCTGCTACTGTTCAAAAACAGGTAAGCGAGTTTCTCGCAACGCGATTAAATGTCTTAAGACATGTGCGTGACGCAATGGCTGATAGCCAAGATACCCAAAAACAACAAGCTGATGCCAAAGGCAGAAATTGTATTGAACGTTATGAGGTCGGAGACCAAGTACTACTCAATGCTAAAAATCTACCTACAAATGTAGTGTCTGCTGTCTTTAAGACAAAGTTGCGTCCACGCTTTATTGGACCGTTCACGGTCACGGCCAAGAAGGGACTTGCGTATACGCTTAACCTCCCGCGCAAATTGCGCACACATCCAGTGTTCTACGTAGGCTTACTTAAGCCGTACCGGGATCCTTCCCATGTGAACTTGGAGGCGCTTGCGCCGACGACAAGGGCACTGCCCCGGATTGCTGTAGACGAATCAGCAAGTCCAACTGAGCCTCGCTCCGAGTTTGAGCTTGCTCCATCGCCTGAAGGCGGCTTTGCATCGCATCCAGCATGCACTGGGACTTACCCAAGGCCTCTTGAAGACCCTTCACTTCGAGAACCAATTTCTCGTGGGCCTCCACCGGTACACCGGTCGCCACCGACTTTGCTCGATGAGCATGGGTGTCGTCAATTCCATGTCGAGAGACTACTGAAACGACGTCGTCGTCAGGGCCAATACCAGTATCTGGTAAAGTGGCGTGGGTACCCTGAGTCTGAAAACTCATGGGAATTTGAGGTACCCCTTCGGCAAGACTGCCCATATGCTTTGGAGGCTTTTGAGCATCGTGGCCATGGTCATCTCGAGGCCGAGGCCGTTCACCACCACTAGTGGTGCGGGTTGGCGGGTTGTTGGTCACAGACTGACCAGCACTCGCGGCTACCTTAGTAGCCGAAGCATAGCGCGTGCGCTTGCGCAATTGGCCTCTGGCCTTAAGCTTGGCATAATCATACCGAAGCTTGCGTTCGAGACGCACATCCGCCGCATGGGCACTAGCCCTTAGAGCAAAAATGTTGCTGAGGCGACGCACATAGTGCACCCAGTGAACAAAGGCATCGTCTTCTTCACTCGCTGTTTCGCCTGCGAGCAGGAGAATAGGTATACCCTTCATCGGTGGAACTGGTGCACCACGTGCTTGCATGTCAAGGCGTGCCTTGTATTGACTTTGAGTCGTTAGGTGCGGCTCCAGGTACCTCTCACGAAGTGCCTGGCAGCTCACCACCTCCTCAGGAGTCTTAGGCCCATGGCCAATGACCCACGTTGCCAATGTTTGGCCGGCCGCTTGACGCAGACGTTCCTCCACACTGGGTGGGGTGAACACATAATCACGCTGGCGTTCAAGGGTTGCAGTCATCTGTGCATAACGCTGAGCGTTTTCTTCTCTTTGAACAAGCAGTTGTTGTTGCTCATCGAGCGGGTTCGTGATGATAGTCTCATCAGAACCAGATGCTGCATGCTGCGCTGGCGGCGCGCTCGCACCTCCACGTTCAGCGAACGGATTTGGGGCGTTCGAAAGTTGTGCCTCAGGGATCAGTGAGCCGGACGTTGTCCCTGTGTCACGGCGGACACTGGTATCGCTACCATAGTCCACCTCTTCCTCTATTCCGAGGTAGCCACACAGAGCCTTTGACTCGTTTGGTGATGAGGACATCGTGCTGGAGCGTACGTTACCGTGAGGTTCACCGTACGCGAACTGTTTTCGCTGAGAACACGAGTTCGATTGACGTTTTGGAAAGCGTCAGTCTGGTGGGGGAGGGTGTAACGGGGTTGCACGAAATCATGGTACTTTGTACCAGAGGTGTTACACACCTGAGGGTTCGCTTCTGTGAAGGTGATATAGAATATCTTATCGGTTTGTAGGGGCTGACGAGTGTCAGCCATTAGATACGAAAGATCTTTGAGTAGGATTAAGATATTCTATAGGCTTTAACAAAAATAAAATCAGTTCCCATTTTGATCTGAAAGACACGTGGCTTGCGAGCCGTCTTGATCGTTGATCTCTGATCACTGAGAGTTAGCGACACCTCCTTGAGGTAGCTACTCTTGAGCACTAAGTGCTGTCGATTCACTGAATCGTTAGGTCCCCTTGGAACAGGGATCTGAAGCTATAAAGCTTGTTGACTCGTAAAGTTGTTAGTTCTTTAGAACTAAGTTGCTCGTAGAGCGTTAAGTCTTCCTCTGACTTAAGGAGCTGTGTAGCTCCGCTACAGTAGGTGCGGAGCACCCTACTGGTCCAGCAACGTCAAGATAATTTGTAGGCCTCTTGATGAAGGCTGCTCCCAACACACAAACGTTGTGCGTTGCTGCTCTAGGTAATGAGATCTCACTCATTACCTTGAAACTCGAGTGACAAATAAGTTGTCCCTTCGAGATCTAGTCGATTGTGGGGCGTCCAACAATTTTGTGTGACGCCAATCGCTAGAAGATGGTCATCTTAAGTTTGTTGAATGTGACACACCTCCTACGAGGATGATGGTACGTCTTGCGACAGGCGCGTCCGTAACCGTCATGAAGCGTATAGTGAAGATCCACTATACGCTAGAAGATACCCAATATGACGATGACTTTATCGTATTGGATTTGGATGACAAAGTTGATGTCGTCCTTGGAATACCGTGGCTCAGAAGGTACGAACCACGGGTTAACTGGCAACATCGAACAGTAACGATGCCTGCCGCTTGTTCATCAGATGGCCATCTGATGAACGTTCTGGAGCGTCCACAAGCGTGTGGATGTACTACGAGTGAGTGCGATGGCCTCACTTGTGGTACGGTCGTTAGTACGACTGCACAAAACCTTAGTGTAACAAACGGTTGCACTTCGGAGCAAAGTTCCGGCGGCTGTGAGGAAACACAGGCTGCGCCGAAGGTCCACCACTCGAACAAGTCGAGTGGACCGGGACAAAGATGTATCCCTAGCGGGGAACATCCAGAAGAGAAACAATCGATCGCTCAGGTTAAGCGAAACGATAATTCTAGATCGACTGGAGAGTCTTTCGTAGAGGATCTCGCTGTGGTTGCGCAACCACAGCTAAAGGAAGTTAAGGGAATAAGTCCCGATATTACAAATACGGCGGAAATAAGTCCCCGAAACCCGCGGGAATAAGTCCCGGGGAAGACGAAGGAATAAGTCCTTCGAAGCCTGAGGGAATAAGTCCCCAGGAAATGACAGAGACATTGAATGTCATAGTCAATAACGGATCAAGTGTAGGCGCTTATACACTTGATCTGATTGCGCCTCCGAAGTTGACTTCGGAGATCACTCAGTTGCCAACGCTCGAACATAAAAGGTTCTTGCGTGATCTGCGTAGTGTCAAAGTCAAGCAGATCTGCGTACTCGTCGCTGACGACGAGTGTGTAGCCGAAATAAGGTCAGCAACAGTGTTTACTGAGAACGAGAGAGTTCTCAGTAGTTCATCTATGGACGAGAGTGTCCTAGGTGAAAAGACACGAGCTGAGCGATATGACTCCCAAGCGTGGGAATTGCTCAAGACAAATCCTCTCTATGAAGATTTGGTTGAATTCAAGGATGTATTCCCTGAAACTGTTCCGTGCGAATTACCGAAGGATAAAGGTACTCGACACGAGGTCGAGCTTAAACCAGGCTCGAAGTACTGTGTCCTGAAGCAGTGGTCACTGCCTCGTGAACAAGTACTTGCGATCGACAAGTTCTTTGCCGATCGTTTAGCTGCGGGCCATGTGAGGAAATCAACTTCCCCACATAGCTCTCCGACCTTCTGTGTGCGAAAAGCAACAGGAGGGTGGCAGATAGTGCATGCATTTAACAAGTTGAATGCTGCAACGGTACCGGCTCAGACGCCGATAACGAGGAAGGAAGTAATCATTGATGGTATGTCAAAGAGTACCATCTTTTCGTCCATGGATTTGATGGATGGCTCTATCAAATCCTTATGCAAGAACGGGACATACCCTATACCGCAGTTAGCACGCCTAGCGGCATGCTCTGGGAATGGCTAGTAATGCCACAAGGGCTTAGTAATGTCCCTGCCACGTTCAACAGATGTGTATCACATCTGTTGAGACCAGTGAGAGAATTCGCGCCGAGTTCTTTCGATGACGTATTCATCCAAAGTCGAGCTATGGATGGAAATTCGGACGTTGAGGTCCACAGGTACCACGTCCGACAGGTTCTTACAATCATGCGTAAGCATCAATTGTATGCAAACCTCAAGAAGTGTATATTTGCAGCAAGCGAAATACCACTTCTTAGGTGCATCGTTGGTAAGAACGGTGTACGTCCTGATCCCGAAAAGATCAAGGCGATCACCGACTGGCCTGTGCCAGTTGATGTCAAAGGTCTTCGAAAATTCCTTGGGCTAGCGGCGTATTTGCACAAGTATTCACGCAATTACGCCGAGATGACTGTACACCTCTCTCGTTTGTTGAAAAAGAACGAGAGGTGGTTATGGAACGCTGAATGTCAGCGCTCCTATGATGGTATCAAGCAGAGCTTGATACAATCCCCAGTCCTAGCAATAGCCGATCAGGACAGGCCATTTCATGTGGTCTGTGATGCCAGCGATTTTTCAATCGGCTGTGCATCAATGCAGTACGATCTTGAAGGCGTTGAACGCGTCGTCTGCTATCAGTCGCATCAGCTGCAACCAGCTGAGCGGAACTATCCAGTGCATGACAAGGAACTCCTTGTCATGAAGTATGCACTCGCGAAGTTCAGAGTCTATCTATTAGGAGATAGACCCTTCATTGTTTACACTGACCATGCGTCATTACGCACGGCAGTGAACAGCCCGCACCTTTCACAACGAATGGCGCGGTGGTTGTTATTCTTTGCAGAATACAACTTTTACGGTCGAGTACAAACCAGGACGACTTAATGTCGTCGCTGATGCACTCTCACGTCGTCCCGACTTTGAACCAGTCGCGAAACCCAACAGTGAGACAGTCACTGTTGCGGTTATGACGTCCTCAGTCCCATATACAACGTTGTATGATGATGTGAGGCGGGCATACGCCCAAGATGTTGATTATTGTGAAGTTGTTGACACATCTCTCACAGCCATCTCGAGAATCGTTAAAACGATTGTCGTCTGCGTGTCGATCTGATGCAGATCGATACACTACTCGTAACGGTTTACTGTATTATACAGCCGTTTCTGGTGACACACCACGTGTTGTCATTCCAGATGATACTGATCTGCGTTTGCGGATCATGTTCGAGTATCACGATGCTCCTATAGGAGGACATCGTGGCCGGGAGAAAACATATCTCACGGTGAGTCGAGACTTTTACTGGCCCCGCCAGTATCAGTTTGTGCGAAAGTATGTTCGCGCATGCGAAGTCTGCCAACGAGTGAAGTCAAGTCCTTCACTGCGTGCACCTTTACAGCCTCTACCAGTTCCGGCTGAGTGCTGGGAATCCATCTCAATGGATTTCGTCTTCGGGTTACCCAAAGACGCACGCGGGAATACGGGTATTCTCGTATTTGTTGACAGATTCAGCAAAATGGTACACCTTGTGGCTGTACCAGAGACAATCACGGCAAGTGGCTGTGCTTGTGTCTTTATTGACACCATCTTTCGACTTCATGGGTTGCCCCGTGAACTCGTATCAGACAGAGATCCACGATTCACTGCTGATTTCTGGCGTTCCGTGTTCAAATCACTCGGAACGCGCTTGAAGATGTCGACATCTGATCAGCCAGAGTCAGATGGCCAGACAGAACGTGCCAATCGTGTCCTCGAAGAGATACTTCGAGGATACGTACACTCCTTTAAGAGTTGGAGTGAGTTTTTGCCAATGGTAGAGTTTGCCATTGACAACTCGGTGCATGCGTCCACGACACATACACCGTTTTACGTGAATGGCTTGCGCCATCCGCGTGTACCCACCTTACTAGAGTGTAACTCTGGTTTAAAGGGGGGAGGGACTCGCGCGAGCAAAAACCGATTTGGTTCACGCTCATCACGCTCTGACGAAGAGGTCATTGCGTTTGATTCCGATATCGATAACATCGATATCGAAGAAGATAATGCCAGTGAGAGTGCGGAAGCCCTCACTGAAGAAAAGGTTGATGTTGCTGCAGTGCACTCACAGCGCACTGAATCTAACGAGTAGTCAGATGAGTTCATACTGGCTCGTGAAACGGTAGTCCGTTTTGTGCAAGACTCCATCGCCGAAGCGGTGGATAAGCAAAAGCAAAACGCTGACAAGAATGGAAGGGCAAACACTCTTTTATTCAATAAAGGTGACTTAGTCCTACTGTCTACGGTTAATCTACCAAAGCATGTAGTGACTAACTTGGGTAGCAGTTAACTACTACCCAAGTACATCGGCCCATTTCGGGTATTGCACCGCCTAGGCAATGCATACACGATCGAGTTACCACGTAAGATGCGAACGCATCCCACGTTTTACGTTGGTCGGCTTAAGCCGTACCATCAGTACGCTGCTTCTTCCGATGAAGAACGCCCTTGCTCTCAAGCATCTCGCAGAGAGCCTTGTGCTCCCGATGGTGGGCATCAACAAGGGTCTGAAGAGCAGCTATCTCATCCCGAGACCGATCAGCAATCCCACGAGCTACCCTTAGCTCGTCACGAAGAGATGTCAGAGATCTCTCGTTCTCAAGCTGAGCAAAGGCAAACTTAGCTCGATGCCTCAAGACAGTGTCCTCCAGTTGGAGACGCCTGTCCCGCTCATGTTCAAGATCACCGCGTAACCCTTGCGTTACGCGATCAAGAAGATCTCGGGAACACACGCTTCCCCACGATTGTGTGGAGAGCGTCTTTCCTCCTCCTCCACCTCCATTAGAGGACTCTCGCGGTGGCCAGCGCTATCTAGCTGAGCAGCTGTTGAACCACCGCAACGTGAACGGACGTCGGACGAGTTATATCGTCCGGTGGAGCGGCTATCCCCCGTCCTGGGATACTTGGGAGCCCCACTCCCAACTGATGGTTGACGTACTGGGTATGGTCGAGCAGTACGATGCGGCACGTCTTGTGCCGCAGAAGGACCGCCGGAGAAAGTCTTCCCGGCCCGTTCGTAAAGGGATTTCAGGTCGTCAATCCCTTCGCACATCTAACTAGAGATACGTACGCGCCACCACGGGCTAGTAAGGAGGTAAGCCTCCTTAGGTGCTCGTGCAGAGTTGTTCACACAATACGGGCACGAGTCTCCCCAGGAGAGGCAGGGTAACCCTTTCTCCCTAGACAGACGATGCGGCTTGTAGCGTGCACCTGTCGGGGTTCGCTTTTCAAACTTATCACGAGCTTTGATAAGTTTGTCGTTCCAAACGTCACGACCTACATCCTCAAGGTTATGGATGTAGGCGTTCCACGCTTGAAGTAGTGAGGGACAATCACGTTTGGGATTCCCACTGTACCATCGATGTTTAAAGAAAGCATCGATGAATAACTTATTCTCAGCGCGATAGTTTTTTGCACTAGGGTCAAGGTGATGGATCGTTGACGAATAGAACAACCGTGTTCGATAACGATCACTCGTCGTCGCCGACAAGTGATCCATGACGGATTTGGGAGGCATCCATGCCTTCTTCTCGGGAGCGAGACGCAACAAGTTGCGGTCCCGCTCTTCTTGCGACGTGCCGACAGAAGGACTGGCACCTCGTTGCGAAGTGGTGTCAATAGGAGAACCGACACCACTATTAGCGCCCGAGTATTGTGACTTCGAGCGCCTTCGCTTCGGCGATGGTTCATCTGATTCATCAGGTGAACCACAGATGCTGCGACGCATAGCATCATCCATGCCACGCTTGGCAGGCGGCTTGGATTAGATCGCCGTCGATACGGATCCGTCTTCCGTATCAGGAGAGTATGAGACACCGAGCTCATTCTCTGTGAAGACATGAGTGTCTTCATAACCAGCGCCTGCATCACCAGGTGACACAGGCTGTGTCGCTTCAGCAACCGATGACACAACTTTTGCAGCTGTTTATGCTTCGGCGTCCGCACAGAGACGTGCGGACGCGCTCTTGGCTGCCTTGCTCGCGCACCGCATGGGCTTGTTAACCACGCGATTAAACTGATGGACTGCGGACTCGGACCGACAAGTGCAAACCCCGCCCCAAATGATTTGGGACGAGTATCCATTTAGTCAATCAGTCACTAAAGTGACTGATGGTTAAGGGGGGGTGATGTAACAAGGTGAATCGTTACATAACAATTTATAAGAAATTGTTAATAGAATATAACTATAAGAGTTATATTCTCGGAATATTGTCATAAGGACATTATTCTGCAACACTTACGAGTAGTTCCTAATTGGTTGATATAGGCCATTATATCAACCAACGAAGACGCGCCACGACAGACGCACGCAATGAGTGGTGAGCAAATAGTTGATATGCACATTTGTATTCAGACAGAGTTAGATGAGGATAAATAGTGATTTATTGCAGACATTAACTATTATAAATACAGTTCTACTTTTTACTTTAACCAAGTACTCGCTTCTTCTTACCGTCTTCCTCTGCACGTACGAGTGTACGTGAAGTTACGAGGCACCGCCTTATTCTGTCATCGGAATAAGTAGCTTGTACTGTCATCAGTACAAGCTTCAGGGTGCCCCGTTACAGTCAGCACTTTCTTGCCCCTACGTTTGGCATGAGTTACTATTGTCCCTACGATTTTATATACGTATTGCTAGGCCGCACGATTCAGCTCCCTGGATTAATTTCTAGCTACTGATAGTACAATGGGCCCGTTACATGATATTGACACAATATGGTGTCAATAGGGAGATTGTCTAGCATGACTTATTCTACCAATATTTTCCGAGATGAATTATATTGAAGGAATTTTATCCCCTTTTAGGATAAAATTCATGTGCTGCTCAAAGATTGGATGACATAAGACATATCAACCATAGATTGCCACCAATCGCTGCTCGACGCGCGCAATGAGTGGTAAGCAGGTTGTCGTCATACGACGACGTAGTTTACTAGAGTTAGATACAGATTAAGGTTATATTGATAGCTTAACTGTATTAAAATACAGTTCTCAATTTACCCATTTCTCAGCTTAGTTGTTGAGTAGATAAGCTTCCTCTGCACGTACTAGTGTACGTGAAGCTTCGCGGCATCCCAAACAATGAGTGCCCCTTTACACCTGGTAGCACTTCGTAGTCCGTCCAACGACTACTTAGTGTTTGTCCACATTGACGTGCTGGACGTAGAAGTCGACAGCTTTCACGTCACACGTGAAGGCTACTCCCATCTGAGTGACTTAGAATGGGAGGTAGTCGGCCGCATAGTGTGCTCATGGGCGAACCCGACATCAGTGGCATTTTGGAGTCTCTAAGCAGAGACCAGCAACATGCTGCTATTACCAAGTTCCTACAAAGGGAACTTGCCGTCGAAAGACAGAAGATAGACTTGCTACAACAGCAAGGCTCTCATCAGTCGATGGGCGGGCCGTCGCACACGCGTCGACCCGAAAACTTGAAGACTGATATCTCAAGGTACAAGAGAACCGATGAAGATTCCCTTTTGAGATGGTTCGTCGAGTTATACGATGCCAACTGGGCCCGTCATATCGAGGGTGACGAGATGAAAGTCACCTTCGCCCTGTCAAATTTGATACGACGAGCAAAGACTTGGGCCTTAGGGCTAAAGCTTCACGATCCAAACTGGTTTGAGTCGTTAGATATCTTCAAGCCTCGACTCAAAGAGACGTTGATGCCGCCGAGAGCCGAGTTCAGAGCACGCTCAGCACTCTTGAGGCTAAAGCAAGGTAAGCGTGGCGTGCACGCTTACGTACAAAACCTGCGCTTTACAAGTAGCGTAACGAAAAACCGTGTTAACGGGCATACGCTCATCAACGTGTTCATCTACGGCCTTGTAGATGGGCCGGTGAAGACCTACATGTTCCAAGAGGACTTCCATACGCTGGAAAAGGCGATAGCGTATGCGGAACAAGAAGACTTCAGCCTGAGACAGTCTCAGACTAACTCGTCAAACTATCGTCCAACGAGGCGACAGGAAACAGGAGGTCCCGAACCAATGGACTTCTGTTATATCGAGATTGAGAACTTTCGCTCTCTGAGTCACAAGCGAACGGCAAGATGCCATCGCTTTCAGAAGATTGGACACTAAGCTCATGAGTGTAGTGTCCCGAGCACCGCAACACGTCCAAAGACAGGAAGTGATGACCACCGTTAGCCAAGGAAAGGTCCAAGGCGTGGGTCCGACCATGTCGCTAAGTCGCGACAGCAAGTCGAACCGCCAAAAAACGGTCAGGGTCAGTAGGGGTGGAGCACCCTGCTGATCCAGCAATGTCGAAAAAATTGCAGGAATCTTGACGAAGATTACTCCCAGCACACAATCGCTGTGTGTTGCTGCCCCTAGTGATGAAAAGTCCCTCATCACTTTGAAGATCGAAGTGACAAGTGGAATGTCACTTCGCGACCTATTTGACTGTGGGGCGTCGAACAGTTGTACTCGACGCCGGTAGCTAGAGGATAGTCGACTCAACTACCTTCAGCAAGAGTTCCCTTCAACGAGGATGACGGTGTACCTTTTTACAGGCGCATCCGTAACAGTGAACAAACGTGTAAAGGAAATCCACTACATGCTAGAAGGAAAGCAGTACGATAATAAAATTCACCGTGCTGGATTTGTATGACAAATTTGATGTCATCCTCGGTTTGCCATGGCTCAGAAAATACCAGCCATGTGTACGCTGGCTGCATCGGTCCGTGAAGATGCCTGCCGTTTGTTCATCGGATGGCCATCTGATGAACGTCTTGGAGCGTTCACCAGCGTGTGAATGTACTACGAGTGAGTGCGACGGCCTCACTTGTGGTACGGTCGTTAGTAAGATTGCACAAGATCACAGTGTAGAAGGCCAATACACTGTGGAACCAGCTTCCGGCACCTGTGTAGAGACACAGGCTGCTCCGAAGGTTCACCACGCGAAGAGATCGGGTGGAATGGAACACGGGTGCACACCAAGAAGGGTGCATCCGAGAAGATAGATTAGTGTTGTTCAGAAGAAAAAAAACATCACGTTGAAGCGAGATCGACTATCGTAGAGTCGATCGTACAGCAAGCCAGATCGACGGAAAGAGAGTAGATCGAAGAGGACGTGACCGTGATAGTACCCGTAACCGAAGAAAATTTCGGCGTTCCTGAGAGCAATAACTCCCGAGGGAGTTATGTTGAGGGTGTGGATCCACAACCACCTGCGGATGTGTTTCCCAGGAATTTACCGAGATAGTGAATGTCTTGGTGAATGACGGATCAAGTGTAGGCGCTTATACACTTAATCTTTGCACACCTCCGAGGTCAGCTATGGAATTAGTCAAGTTGCCCACGCTATAATCTAAAAGATTCTTGCGAGATCTGCGTTGTGACAAGATCAAGCAGATCTGCGTACTCGTCACAGAGGACGGGTACGTCGCTGATATTCGGTCGGCACAAGTGTTTGCTGAGAACGAACGGGTTCTCAGTAGCTCATCGATGGACGAAAGTGTCCTCGATGAGAAGACCCGAATTGAGCGATACACATCTCAATCTTAGGAGTCTTTGAAGACAAATCCTTTGTAAAGGGTTTGGTGGAATTCAGGGATTTTTCCCGGAATCCGTGCCATGCGAGCTGCCTAAGGACAAAGACACTCGGCATGAGATCGAACTGAAACCCGGTTCGAAATACTGAGTCATGAAGCAGTGTCCACTGCCTCGTGGACAAGTAACAGCAATCGAAAATGTATTTGCCAATCGTTTAGCGGCTGGGCATGTGAGGGAATCAACATCCCCACACAGCTCTCCGACCTTCTGTGTGCGAAAGGCCACAGGAGGGTTGTGGATAGTGCACGCGCATAACCAATTTTACGCTGCAACGGTACCGGCTCAGACGCCGATATCGAGGAAGGCTGCCATCATAGATGGCATGGAAAGAAGTACCATCTTTTCGTCCATGGATCTGATGGATGGATTCTATCAGATCCTAATGCGTGAACGAAACATTTCATACACAGCAGTGAGCACCCCCAGCGGTATGCTCTGGGAGTGGCTATTGATGCCACAGGGGCTAAGTAACGCCCCTGCAACGTTGAACAGATGTGTTACGAAGCTGTTGCGATCGGTGCGGTACTTCGCACCGAGTTACTTCAACGATGTCTTTGTCTATAGCCGGGCTATGGATGAAAAGACAGACATGGAGGTTCAAAAGCACGTCTAGAAGTTTCTTACGCTTATGCGCGAGCTTAAGTTGTTCGCGAACCTCAAGTAGTGTAGCTTCGCAGCGAACGAAATACCACTTCTTGGCTGCATCGTGGGTAAAACCTGCGTAGGTCCTAATTTAGAAAAGATTAAGGCCATCGCTGACTGCCCTGTGCCAGTCGACGTCAAGTGACTTCGAAAATGCCTTGGCTTGGCGGCGTACTTGCACAAGTACTCGCGCAACCACGCGGAGATGACCGTACAACTCTCTCGTCTGTTAAAGATATAAGGAGATGTGGTCATGGAGCGCTGAGTGTCAGCGCTCTTATAAAGGTATCCAGAAAAGCTTGGTGCAATCGCCTGTTGGCGATTGCGGACCAAGACAGACCATTCCATTTGGTCTGTCACGTCAGCGATTTTACAATCGGCTGCACAGTACTCCAGTACGACTCAGACGGCGTTGAGCGCGTCGTCAAACGCGCCTTCTGCAAGCAGCTGAGAAAAATTATCCGGTGCATGACAAGGAACTTCTTGCCATGAAATATGCACTGGCCAAGTTTGTGTATATCTATTAAGAGATAGGCCCTTCATCATTTATACCGACCATGCGTCGTTACGCACGGCCGTAAACAGTTCACACCTCTAGCAACCAATGGCGAGGTGGATGTCTTTCTTCGCGGAGTACAACGTCTCCGTCGAGTATAAAATAGGACGACTTAATGTCGTCGCTGATGCTCTTTCGCGTCTGCCCGATTACGAGCCGACTGCTCAGCCTAACAGTCCGGGTGATCCCACTGTCGCGACACTAACAGTGAGTGTTCCGTCATCGAATCTGCTCGACGACGTGTGAAAAGCATACACAAAAGATGATTCTCTTCTGCGGTTGGTGGATTACGGATCCAATCCGTGTAATCAAGCTTTGAAAATCTTGTTGTCACAGTACCGCTCTTTAACCGAACGGCATTCGGTTCCTGATGAACTGATGTACTACACAGCAGTCAACGGCCACAATCCTCATGTCGTCGTTCCCGCTTATAAGATTTGCGATTGCGCATCATGTATCAGTGTCACGATGCCCTAACCAGTGGGCATCGCGGTAGAGAAAAGACTTACCTCACGGTGAGTCGTGCCTTCTACTGGCCTCGCCAGTGAGTGTTTGTGCGCAAATGCATTCGCGCTTGCGAAGTTTTCCAATGGGTGAAGCCTAGTCCTTCATCACTTGCACCCTTGCATCCTCTACCGATTCCGGCAGAGTGCTGGCAGTCCGTATCAATGGACTTCGTCTTTGGGTTCCTCAAAGACGCTCTCAAGAAGATGGTATTCTTGTGCTTGCTGATCAGTTCAACAAGATGGTACATCTTGTTGATGTTTTCGGAGTCAATCACAGCCCAGGGTTATGCTCGTGTCTTCATCGATACTATCCTTCGACTTCAAGGGTTACCCCGCGGACTCGTGTCTGACAGAGACCCTCGCTTTACAGCGGAGTTCTGGAAATCCGTGTTCTGTTCACTTGGAACACGTTTCAGATGTCGACTTCTGACCATCCAGAACTAGATGGTTAGACGGAACGCGTCAACCGTGTCCTCAAATAGATACTTCGAGGGTACGTCCACTCGTTTACGAGTTGGAGTGAGGTCTTGCCGATGACATAATTCGCCACCAACAACTCGGTGCATTCGTCGACAACGCATACACCGTACTTCGTGAATGGCCTACGCCATCCACGTTTACACACCTTCTTAGATTGTCACTCTAGTTTAAGGGGAGGTAAACTCGCTCGAACAAAAACCGATCCGGTTCTTGCTCCTCACCCGTCGACAGTGGTGTCGACGTGATGGATGCCGATGTCGATGCGATCGATATCGATGATGATGATGACGACGATGCTGGTATATTTAGCATCGCCAATGACTACCAAAAGTGACAACGATGACGCCCTCACTGGTGAAGACAATGTTCTTTCAGCAGTGCACACGAAGCGCATTGTCTTTACCGAGGATGAATCAGTAGAGGACTTTCTGCTGACTCGTGAAGCAATTGTCCGCTTCGATCAAGATTTATGTATACGCAATAGACGGACAGAAAAGAAACACAGACAAATATGAAAGAGCGAATGTTTTTTTATTTAATGAAGGAGATTTAGTTTGACTGTCTACAAAAAATTTACCGAAACATGCAGTGACAAACGTGGGCAGCAATAAATTACCGTCGAAGTATATCAGTCCATATCGTGTGTTGCGCCGAATGGGCAACGCATACACGATTGAACTGCCCCGTAAGATGCGTACGCTTCCTACGTTTTACGTCGGTCGTCTCCGCCCGTACTATCAGTACGAGCCCGTTTCGAGATGCGAAGAACACCTCCGCGGTCGAGAGCCGAGACCACCTTCGAGTGGTCCCATTTATACGAGTCAGTCTGGTCTACTAGCGAAGCGACCTGCTCACGCAGTTGAGCGATTTCTCGACGATCAGCAGCCAGCTCGCCACGAAGAGAACGAACCGAACCTTCGTTCGTTCTCAGGTTGCGCGAACGCAAACGCGGCACAATTGTTCGATTGATCGTGCGCTAAGGAATTGTAATTACCCTTTACAAGGTCATGGAGCATGTAGCGCCGAGTCTGTTCATGAGCCAGGTCATCCTGTACCTGTTCAGTTACACGGTTCAGCTCCTGAACATCAAGCTGGTCCGACCCTCGATCCGGATCAGTTGTTCTTGCTACCACCATACCCTTTGGTGGATTCTGGCGGTAATCAACGCTTTCTAGTGGAGTGTATCTTGAATCACCAAGACGTGAAGGGCGTCCAGACGAGCTACCTCGTTCGGTGGCGTGGCTATCCACCGGCGTGGGACAGCTGGGAGCCTTGTTCCCAGCTGATTGTTGATGTCCTGGGTCTCGTAGAGCAATATGAAGAGACCCACCCGCTGCGTTCGAAGTAGGGCCGTCGGAAAACGACCTCACCGAACGCGAGTACAGGGATTTCAAAGTGTCAATCTCTTCGGCCATCTCAGAAGAGATGCGCGCCCCCCACTAGTAATCATTAGGTAGGTAGGCCTCTTTAGGGGCACGGTTCGAGTTGTCCAGGCAACCTGGACATTGATTGCCCTACGAGAGATAGGGCAATCCTGACTCTCTTGACAGACGGTGCAACTTGTATCGCACCCCGACTGGATTACGTTTCTCAAATCTGACGCGAGCTGCATCACGTTTACCCAGCCAGCCTCACGTTCAATGCACTCGATGTTATGTATGAGGGCATTTAATCCTTGCGCCAAGGCTTTACCGTCTCGAACCCGGCTGCCACTGTACCACCGATGTTTGCAAAATGCATCGGTGTAGAATTCTTCCTCGGCACGGATAGTTTCCGTGCTGGATTTAGGAGGGTAGATCTTCCTACAGCCGAACAATGGGATTTGGTCCCGTTCAGTAGTCATGCCGGCCAACCGGTCCAACTCTCTGGATGACTGCATCCACGGAGACTCCACTTGAGGAGCGTGGCGCAGTACATTTTGGTCCCTGGCCTCTTGATTGGTGCTTTTATGAGCACTGACATTAGTGACACCTCTATCTCTCGAGTTGCTTCGCTCGTGGTGATGTATAGGTGCGTTACCACCATCCCCACGCGTCCAATCGTTGAATGGACTTGCGTGAGGCGGAGATTCATCGAAATAATCACTCGATCCGAAGATCTCGAGCATGATGCCACCAAGTTGACCAGAGCCAGCCAACATGGCTCTTGTAGTGTCCGCCCCGGGTGATCCGGAGGCGTGAGGTGTCGCCTTCAAGTCGGATACATCATCCGGTTCGCCCGAATAGATGAGCTCTATTTCAGGCTCATCTGGATTACACTTCGCGGTACCCGCTGTAGACGCATCGAATATACCTGTCGCACGTGGTGACTTACCGCGTGGACTGTTCACAGCAGCAGGAGACGAATCACCTGCTGCTGAGGTGTGAGAAGTACTCTCTCCGGCTTCTCGTATGCGTGCAGCCGCCTTTCTTGCAGCTGCAGTAGCAACTCGCTTGGATTTTGAAACCATGCGTTGGATTGGCAAATGATATGGAAAATGACCAACAAGTGCTATCTTTCCCAGAGTGATCCAACGGTGGTCACTCTGTCCAAAGCAATTCTATTCAATCAACGGATGATCGATGGCCAAGGGGGAGAATGACGTTACGGGGTCTTCCCGTTATTTGATATTGACACTAAACGGTGTCAGTAGGGAGATTGTCTAGCATGACTTATTCTACCAATATTATTTGAGATGGATAATGTTAAAAGAACATTACCCCTTTTAGGATTAAATTCATGTGCTGCTCAAATATTGGTTGGTATAAGACATATCCATCCATAGATTGCCACCAATCGCTGCTCGACGCGCGCAATGAGTTTTAAGCAGGTTGTCGTCATACGACGACGTAGTTTAATAGAGTTAGATACAGATTAAGGTTATATTGATAGCTTAACTGTATTAAAATACAGTTCTCAATTTACCCATTTCTCAGCTTAGTTGTTGAGTAGATAAGCTTCCTCTGCACGTACTAGTGTACGTGAAGTCATGTGGCACCAAAACAAAGGGTGCCCCATAACTTGGGTCGAGCAAAGTGCTTGGCTTGAACCTTCCTGCAGCCGTATTTGTCGCGCGGAGGAGGGTTACCAGCGTAGTGACTGCCTCTGTGACCGTCCGGAGGCGCGGTAGGGGTGACACCGGCCACCTATTCGTCCAATCAGATAGATCTTAAAAGTTTCGCGACGGGGTCGCTTGTATAGGGGGTGTCCAGCTTGCGTCGGTGGTTGGAGATCGTTACAGAATTATCCGATTAGGCTGACGGTCCTGCTTGGGCAGGGCCCACCGATTTGGTGTCTACCGGCGTCTTCGTGTTTTTCGACTTGGAATTAGCGGTCTTGGGATGTTTGGTGTCGGGTACGATAAATTTATAGAATGCGTCTTCGGCCGTTGTTCTGACCCCGTAGATGGTCCTGAGGTGTCGAAGTCTATCGACTTGGTGTCCCCCAGCGCTTTCATCCTGGTATTCTTCGGTTTGTACTTGGCGACCGGAGGTGTTTGCTGTTTCGGCAACCATAAATTTTCGGTTTTCACCGTCGGTTGATGGTCCACTGGGGTATGATAGGTATCATGACCCAAGACGTCCTAAACGAGGCCGTAGGGAGAGTGTTTCGGTTTCTCTTTAAAATTTTAACCTTAAACATGTTGACCGGACCCCTTTAAGGTTCGGTCGGTCCTTCGACTCGTTGTTTTTGTCTTCTTGTGTCACTAATGGTCAATCTTTTATTGTTTCTTCAGTCTTCTGTTCTATCGTGATCTTGACGTCTTCTTCATCTTAAGACTCGCGGTGAAATTTTGCGTCACTTAAAGATCCGGGTACGCGCACAATTGTGGTGGAGTAGGTTATCAAACTGTTTGACGAGACCCCAAACACTCACTATGCCAGACTGCCGACTGTCGGAGGAGGTACCCCGACGCCGCTTGTAGACCTTGACTCACCTTGTGTACCCGCCGGCTTGGAGGGTTTCAATCTTCGGAGGACTTGGTGGCGATACAGACGTCGGTCTTATGGAGGTCAACCTAGAGGGCAAGTGGATATGCTTCATTCGGGGTCCAATGTAGACGTCCACTCGATCGACTTGGTCGAGAGTGGTCTTATAACCAAATGTCTCAGGTGCTGTTAGCGCCTAAAATTTACTTGTCTCATTGGTGTTAATCGCCTGGCCTTTTTGTGTCTTCTTTTTTACTACTAGAGTATGAAGACCGCTTCTTATAGCGGGCTCGAGTGGGGGGGGGTGCGACTCTACGAACCACAGGCCGATGTACTTTCTGGGGTTCTACTTACGCTTGTGTCTTGCTGAAAACTGTCTATTCGACGGGTGGTCCAAACATATCCCTGGCCCGGAACAGGTAGCTATACTTACAAGTTTTTTAGCGCACGACACGTGCTACTTAGATCGCAAATTGATTAGTAGTTAATGTTATTCTATCCCTTAAACTCCTTTACGCTATCCTTGCCTTGCACTTGGGTTCGCTATGATGAATGGCCAGGAACTACCAGACCTTGAGAGGCCAAGTCGACCTATGGGTGACCAGGTCGGCCGATGGGTGACCGAGGTCCACCTTGGGCGACCAGGGCCGACCGACGAGTGGTTGAAAACGATCCATGTCGGTACCGTTTAACAGGTACTATCGGTAGGTTTGACCCCGTTGGCAGTAACCTTATCCGCTCATCAAAGTTGATCCCAACGGCCGCTCCTTACCTGTGACCCCCAAGTCCCCAATTTTCTTTCCTAGCCGCAAAGTTCCGTGTCCGTCCGGCTCGTCGACTCTTGAGTCCATCATTTTCGAAAACTCGCTTCGATACATGACTACAAATTATGAGTCTCTTTTGGCCGAACGTAATTAAACGGTGTAGTTGTGGTCGCCTCTTTGTCACAGTTAGAATTTACGGCATTCTATTGCTTGTGTCATTCAAAACCACGTCGTTGATTTCAAAGTCATCGTTTTCTCGATCATCTGCAGCTATTGTCATGCAACTAATCTTCGTTAACGACCTAATTAATTTAAAAAGCTACGACGATGACATGCAGTTCAAAAAGTAATCCCAGATGCTGCGGAACTACAAAAAAAGGCATAAAAGTAATCATTCATAAATTGTTCCCGATTTCTCAAAGCATATGGCAAGATTTGATATGTTCAACTGTATGACGTTTATGATTGGACGTAAAAGTTATATATACTAGCTGCTGTAGAAGCTCTAAAAACATTAATTTATCTGCCACTCCTCTCTTCATCCTTTATTACAGAATTATGCGTGCACAATCGTTACTTCGTGCTCTGCAATTCTGCTCATCATCGGGACGCAAATCGCTAAGCTTACTTGAGTGTGGTGAAGTGAATTCTTAAACTGCGTGGTGAGCCCCCGAAATATTCACTGTTTCGCACTTCCAACTTACCGGAAAGGGTACCCTTATCCTGCGTATGGACCTTGACTCACCTTGATTAGTTTTCGGCTGCAGGTTGCAGTTTAAGATAGGCTTATATGGAAAGGGAGAGTTATCGGTCTTTAAAGAGGTAAATTTGTACACCTTAAGTCGAAAAACTTCACTGGATGGGCCGTAAGGTGGTCACTTAATCGGCTTAATACGGAGCGGACCTTAACTCCTCGTCTCTTAACGCTGCTCCTTAGTCGTATGACACGTAGATGACTTCCGATAGAGGGTCTTGAGGTTTTATTGCTACGCGACAAACATACAGGCCAAACAAATCCAGAAATTTGTCTATACCTAAGTCTATTCTTATTACTGTCTTCAACGGAGAGGGGGTATACCCTTTCCGGGAACAGACGGGCAAACTCATCAAGTTTCACCCTAGCATGACAAAGACGTGCCATATGGATCTAAAGTAAAGTACATTTCGAATATTGCCCTATCCTTAAACTTTTTTACTTCGGCCTGATGCTCTGACTTTATTAGAAACTAATCAGAAGCAGCCGAATATGATATTGGACCTTGGTCTACAGATGATCGGATCGGGTCAACCAATGAGGTACCAAGATCTACCGATGACGGAACAAGGTCTAACATTTGAGGGACCATCTTTACCGATAAGGAACCAATGTCTACCGATAAGAGACCGGATCCACCAGTTAGTGACCGAGATCTGCCGATGAGGAACTGGGTCCTCAAGTGAGGGAACGAGGCCAACCTTCGTGGACCGGGCCCGCCAACGAGGGTGTGTTGTCACCTTCTTACAATATCGCTTGGTCGTGACCTGGGCAGCTGTATTCTCCTTATTAGTTGTGCAGGTCCCTTTCCCTGAGAGCCTAAACACTTTCGTGACTCACTCTCTCTCGGGCAAACTAAAATGGAGGTGACACCTTCTCTCTTCATCGCGATAGCCTCCGAGAACGGTTTTTTTATCTTCCCTTCAACACAATAACAAGTCCACAGATGAGGCACTGATGTCCACTCGTGAGGGATGTACGTCTGCCCAATGAGATATTAGGTCCACAGACAAGAGTTGACCCCGAAAATCTGACGTCTATCCCTGTGGACCGTTCCTTTAAAGAGAGATCGGGGTCGATTTTACTTCTATACCACTTAATCGGTAAATTGGTCTTGACCTCTTCACCGTTCAGCTTGCAAATCCCGCACACCCCAAGTTCGTGTCCTCTTCGTGGTCACTTCTCTCCAGTACCTTCGATTTACTAGCTCAGGTCCACCACTTTTACAAAATACTTCACCACATGAGTGCAACAGTCATGCGTCGCTATACATCGTTATCAATCTAGTTTAGCGCTAAATCTTTCGAGCGACCGGTGAATAGATAGATCTTGTGCAGAATATCGCACACATGATAAGCTTATTTACCGCGCGCCCAAAGTTTTTGAGTGTTCTTGTCTATCCTTCCGATCACCACTGTGAAATCTTTCACAGATGCGACATAATGAACCTTGTACAAGCAAAATGCGATGACAGCACACTATTTGTCGTTGCAGTATCTTTATAACATGCATATGCTGGGAGCAAGAAATAAGAGCAGCTGATTTACTTCTTTTCCAGAGCAAGAGAAAGCCCTATCGACTTTGCGTAAACTTATAATCACAAAAGATGTCAGATGTGATGTCAAAATTATGCATTGATTAAGTGATTAGCAAATGCTCACGAATAACATCCACCATGTCAATTAAACGTCACATCAGGGTAAACAGTTACTTTATTTTCTGTTGCTTTCGAGCCGTCATGCCTGTCAAAACTGCGTTGATCTGGATACCATCCCCTTCGTCTTTACAACGCTTATACCACGGTCTTTGCTCGGACTGTTGGTATAGCTTCAAATACATGCTCAGAAAGAGGTAGTTAATTTATCATTTGCGGCCTTACTATCATACCTGGTAGTCGGATTTATACTGGCCTAATGCGACAAGAGTTAAATTATCCGTATCGATACCCGCAATTCATAAATTTCGCGCTAACCGTATGCTACCGTTGCCATATCTGCACAATCTGTTGACTTCCCAGCTCCTT